GGGGGAAAATTTTGGTGTGAATTTGGCTTGCTTCATAAACTATTCGCGCGGTACTATTCAATGGAAAATGCAAATGATAAATAAAAAACGAAGATAATCAAGTGTGTTTTTAGCGTTATTTCAGTTTTCAGTTTTTCTTGTTGTCTCTTTATAAAATAGTTAAAAAGAGGGGGTCTTTCATCTCCCCCCTAAACTGCCCCTGACACAGACAATATCGCTTGATCATATTTCACAGGCGATATATTAATTTTGTTGAATTTTGTCTTGTCAAGTCTAGTATAACAAGTAACAAATAAGGAGTCTGCATTTCCGTGATTCCGTGTACGCTGCAGTTTAGCAATCCCAAGGAAACCCATAATCCAGAGTTTTATTATTATTTATTTATTTATTTATTTATTATTATTGTTTTATTATTATTTATTTATATATTCGAACAGTATCAACATAGTGCATAGTACAGTATCAACTCGCAGTTTTCTTTTCCGACGACTAGGGAAATAGAGTCAGATATAGAGGATTTTACGTGGGCGAACGGAGATACTCACGTTTGAGCGTATTTTAAATATGAAAGCAAATCATGTAAAACTAAATATAACAATAGAGTTGAGGTTCGCGGGAATAAATATGTTTTTGGCCCGACTCAGGTTCATTTTAGCCCGAGCCAGGAACGTAGCGTCCTTTACGCATATACGCACGTGCGTACTAGTGGCAAGGAACTATTGAAAAATTCACATAAAATTGATCCCTTTATAAGTGCCCTCGATGTCTCTCAAAACGCTGGAAATCGCATTTCCAAGAGTTATTATTTCAAAATTTCCTGAGGGAGATCCAGACTCCCTTAATACTCCCGCCTTTGGCGATCGTATTGGATCCCCAGATCCAAAATACGTGTCGCGGCCCCTGACATGTGCGTATTATCAAAAACGTCCACGCTACGCGCCTGCTAGCGTAGCGAGATGTATCTTGAGAAGGGCCAAAAACATTTATGCCCAAGAACCTCAACTCTATTTTTATTATATTAACTTTATAGGGSATTTACAAACTGAATTAAGACTGTTTTCATTCAAAATAAAGAGCAAGCAAACTATCAAAACATGACATGACAGCGTAATATTTTTTTAAATCTTTTATTGTAGTGGAAAAAATCAACTATAATATTATAATCACATTATAAAATCTTAATGCAACATTAAAAAATAAGTAAGGAAAGCATACAAACAGTTCAAACAATTTAAAAATGGTATGAACTGGTGACTTCGGCGTAAAAACGGCGAAGGATACCGACTAATTCTGTAGGACTCACTGTATTTAGATCACATTGAATCTTTCTTTTGGTACACCATTCAAAGAATCTGTTGATTTCCCRTGAGTTTTGTCTATAGCTTCTTCCTCCATTTTGTTTTGACGAGAAAATGGCGGGAAGCACTTGATTGGATTACCTCTTATTGGCTGAACAGCGTATTTTCTAAATGGCTTTTGGTTAATTTGAGCTATAAATGTATTTTGGCCCGCTGATTTGTTCATTTTAGCCCGTAAAATACACAACAATGCCTCGATTGTGTTATTTTCACAAGTAAAATTATCAACTTTATGAAATGGAGAAATAYAGGTATTCTCAAATTTCTCGACTTCACGCTCTTAGAGCGTCTAGTGCTGAAATCCTGCCTCCCGCCAAACCTGTTAGGAYCTCGTGTGTGATTGGTCAGAATTTGAAGCCAGAGTGCACTTCGGCCCTATTCGCTTGGCAGAATGTACATTTGATAAAAGTATGAGAATAGTTTTGTTTGAAATTCTGGACGACCCCTCTCTTTTATCGGATCTGCTCATTCTCTTGAAGGTAAAATATACTTAGATAATGATTTTGATGTATTTAGTCTTGTGTAGGATCTTTCAAGAGGCAAAATAGGTTGTTTATAGAGGATATACAATCAAAATGGCGGATAGTTTA